GTTTTTTGGGGGTGGGGGGAGAGTTTCATTTCTATTTTGCGGTTTTTACGCCTTTTTCAACAACTTATTGTTCACTATGGCAATTTTTAGCTTATTTTCGTCAAAAAAAGCCCTCTAGCGCCTAAACGGTTAGAGATAGAGCGAAACGGATGAAATTTTCGCCCAGAGGGCTCTACTTTGACGAGTTACCCCTTAGGAGATGATAAAAAAAAATATTTTTTCCAACTTTTTTGGCCTTTCCTGTTTTCTTTGATAGCCCCTTTCAGCCCCTTAGGGGTGGCTGGCAGGATTTGCCGTAGGCGTTTTGTTTTGTGGGAGTGAACCTTGAGATCGCCTGAAAATTTGAAGTCTCTAGCACATCTCCTTCTTGTGGAACAGACAGACAGACAGACAGTCAGACACACAGACACACAGACAGACAGACACACAGACACACAGACAGACAGACACGAGGTCGTTTGCATAAGCCCGCTGGATAGCTTTTTCAAAGCAGAAGGGCGGGCTAAAAAGAAGAGTAAGGGAGGGGGGGGGGTACCTTTTCTCTGGTAGATACAGTATTGGGGACCGTCTAAAAACACCGCACCGCCACCACAACCGAGCGCCCTGTGGTGTGGACCTGCTATAGAGGGGCAAGGGGAAGTGGACAGGGCGGGGGCTTTGGTCTCCGTTTGAGGACACGCTACCCATGCCATCATATCGCCAATCATAAAGCCAACGGCACCGTTCTCTGGCCCGCTGCAGCGCCTCGTGCGCGAGGGCCAGGTGCTGCTGCCGGACCTGCTGTACGCGGGCTTCACCAACGCGCTGCTGGAGACCCTGGCCGGCGAGCGGCTGCCGCGCGCGCGCCACGAGACGCTGCGCGCGCTCAGCAGGGCCGTGCGCCTGTTCCAGCGGCACGTCGAGCCCAGCGGCGGCGTCATCAACATCACGCCCTGGCTGCGCCACCTCGCGCCCACCGCCTCCAGCTACCGGGGCCTGGTAGAGGGCAACGACGGCGTCGTCGACTTCATCCAGGTGGGGGAGCAGACCAGTGGTTGCACAGGGTGTGTCCATAGGCCCCCGCACTTCAATAAAGCATTCCGGTAAAGCTGAAATGCAGACGAATGCGGGGAAGAAGAAAACGGAAATCACCATGTTACAGCAGAGCGATTTCCGTTTTCTTCTTCCCCGCATTCTTCTACAACTCAGCTTTACCGGAATGCATTATTTGCTTGTACTGTACCGAACGCAGGCGTGCTGGCGAGCTTAGCGAGTAGGCAGCCCGCCCGCAGACATGTGTGTGGTACAGTAAACAATCATTAAGAAAGTACGCAGTCTATGGGGTATGTGTGAGTTTGGTTTTTAGAAAGTATTCAATCCCCGGTATCGTTCCGCAACCCCTCGCCACTACTCGCCAACAGTTGCATGGCGTCGCTTGTCTAGTGCACTAATTTGTTCTCGTCACCAGGATGAGCTGCTAAGCCGCCAGGTGCCGACGTTCGACGCGGAAGTGATGCGCGGGTTTATCGACGTCTTCCGGGCCGAAATGCTAAACCGCGGGGAAGACAAGTCGGGCTTCACAGGTAGGCGCAAACACTCGAGCCGCTTATCTCAAAGTCTCCAATAGAAAGAGAGATAGAGGTCCGGCCGTCGTGTACCGCGTGTCCGCAGAGAAGCAGCTCATCATGGTGCTGGTGGACTACATCTTCCCCAGCACCACGGTGCCCCCGGTGACGGTGGCCATGGCCATCGCCTACCTCGTGCGGCACCCGGACAAGGCGGAGCGCGCCCACCGGGAGATCGTCGCCGTGGTGGGCAGGGGCAGGCTGCCCAACCTGGACGACCGCGCGAGGTGAGTGCGCCTTAGGGATCATCCAGAAAGTACGTCCGTCATTCGCCGCTGCGAAGCCGCCAAGTTCAGGCCCAGCAAGCTCTCCTAGCGCCTGGTAGGTAGACACCATCTAGTCTGCAGTGCATGCGTGTACTGCGGGGTGGCCTACCTTGAGTCTCGCAGGGGCCGAGCTCCCCTAATCTGCCGAATTAATTTGAGGAAAACGGATGTACTTCCTGGACGATGCCTTACGCCGGGCCGGGTGGTCGACTGCGAGGGGGCATCGGTATGCATAAAGCTGTGTAAAAGAAAAAAAATAGTGGATTAAACAGATTTCTCTGAAATCCGCCTCTTTAAAGAAACAGCTGTTCTGAACGCTTTTTGTGTTGCAGCCTGCCGTACACCGAGGCCATCCTACGCGAAGTGCTCCGGTTGGAGACCAACACCGTCCTGTCCGTGACTCATCGCTGCACGGAGGACACTTTCTTCCGGGGATACTTCGTGCCAAAAGTGGGTGGGCCAGCGCGCGCTAGCCGCTAGAGGTCCTGACAACTTATCTTGACCGAAGGATTTCAGTCCGCGCCAGAATTGCAGTCCTACCCGAGCCGAGCTGCAGCCCATGTTGCCCGGGCCGGTCTCGGGGCCGGCTTTTGTCGGCCCGGATAGGGTCGGTGCAAGTCCTGAGCGGCCTCTATTTCTTTTGTTCTCCGGGTGCGAGCTCGGAGGCCTCTTCGGTCAAGATAAGTTGTCAGGACCTCTAGGCTCCAGGGTTGCGGGATCGACTAATCGCAAGGGCTGCAGGCGCTGCAGAGGCCATGGCATGGTGCCTAACGGACGAAGGGAGGAGGCAGACCCGCAACACTGGAGTTCATTTAGAGATACACCCGTTACAGGGCCACCCTGCACCACCATACACCCTCGTGCTCCATAAACTCATCCCCTGATCCCTTTTCGCAGGGAACGTTGTTAATCCCCAACATTTGGGCTGCTAACCGTGACCCGGCCGTCTTCGAGAAGGCCGACCAGTTCGTCCCCGAGAGATTCCTCGACCTTCGCTCAGGGATGCTGAGGAAGAAGGACGACACCATGCCCTTCGGCCTGGGTGAGGACGACTGGGGGGACGGTCGGGCGGGCTGCCTATGCGCCGATCCGCAGGCAGGCGCCCAGGCTCGAGCCAGGCTCCAACACCTAGCCCACCTCACTCCGCCTCTCTGCTCCAGGCAAGCGGCTGTGCGCCGGCGAGACGTTCTCCAGGCAGAACATGTTCCTGTACTTGTCCGCGCTGCTGCAGAACTTTTCGTTCGAGCTCGGCGACGACGGGTACCTCCCCACCGAGGACGACATGGTGCCCGGCATCCTCGTCACGCCCAAGTCGTTTTGGGTCCGCCTCTCGGAGAGGCCCTGAGCGACGCCTTACCATCTCATCTCATTCGCACTGAGAGAAATAATATGTTTTGTTGCGGCCATCAAAATTTTGATACTCACGGCCAAATTTCGTTCGGTCAGTCCGGCTTAGTTACAGGCATCAACATTTTAGTTGCTGTGACCAAAAGTTTAGTTGGTGCGACTAAAATTTTGATGGCCGTACTGATTGAGCAATTTTTGATGGCTGCAACGAAACATTTCTCTCAGTGCGTTCCCCATTGTTTTCACTATTCCACTCCCTGATCTCGCTATTACTTTAAAGGTAAATAAACATATTTTAGAAGCCGACAGAAACAGAAGCGTAGATCACGCGCAATGAAATTCTACACTTATATTTCATATTTGAATCAAAAACATTGGGCCTCTCAATTACTACGTAATTGATCCCAAACGCGTTTACCCCACCTGAGCGATGGGCGTACACAGCACCAACGCCCCCTAATCAATATCGAGTGCGCTCTGTCCCCACACAGCTCCCACCCCTTGACTGTACCCCCCCCTCAGGTTGGTGAAGGGAGGGCGAGGGGCGAGTGCAGCGAGGAGCTCTCCAGTACGTAATCCCACTTCCCGGCATCGCGCACCACGATGAACGCGCTGGTTGTGCGGCTCATGGCGGTAAGTGCCCGGGGCGGCCCGGGGCGGCCCGGCGCGCGGGGAAGCGCAGCGTGGGGCGCTACTGCTGCGGATGTCCGCGAAGCATGCGAGGGATCTCGAGGGGGAAATCACTCCAGATGAAAGTGTACGAGTTGGTACGTTAGTACATATTCTTATTTTTAGAGCAATTTTTCATATCTTTCACAAAATTTTGTTAATACAGCACTACTACGCTTGATATTTACCACTAAGACGCGTTATTACGCCGTTAGTACAGGCCTGGATATACGAGCTGGTGCAAGTGATTTCCCCCTCAAGGGAGCTGTTACGCTGCGGACAGTGAAAACCTACAGTCGCCTCACTATAAGAAGTAACTTGAACATTGCGCGTCAAGAAAATAGTCCCTACCATCGTGATGAGCTAACTTCTAGTCTAACTATCGCACGGCTGAAAACTAAATACTCAATAATGGACCAAACTTTATCGTTTAGCACTGGATGATTCCTGTTACAAGACAGTTACGTTTAGACACTTTAATAAGAATTTTTGCGTACAGCTATCGCTCCGCCAGGTTACTCCTTATAGTGAGGCGACTGTACA